TAAAAAAAAGGTATTTTTCAATTCCTTGCATTTTTTTATATTAGAAAAACCTTTACTTTTACCAAATTCTATTATTTAAATAATACGATAAAACTTTGACGGTAGTTTTATTATTATTATTTTTTTAACATACTGTGGAGTCTCAAAAGGGTAAGTAATTGGGCCTCTCTTGATTTCTAAGAGACTCTTTCTATGCTCATTATAATATGTAATATAATAAAGAAAATTTCGACGAACATTATAAACCGTAAAATTGCGTTACAATCATCATTTGAATTGATTTTCAAGCTCAGTTTGCTGCCAGTATCGATTATACTATGTAAAAAAAAAGAAAAAGAAAGAAAAAGAAATTTCCTATGGATATTTAAATAAACTACAGAAAAATAAATTCTTTTTTTGTTTTTTGAAGTGTGGAAAGATACATTTGATATTTTTTTTCTTTATTAAGTAACTAAAATTACACTGTTAATAATTAAACGTTATATATAAGAGATGAATAACTTATTAGCATCATTCTCAATCATTTCAATTTATCGCTAATACTTTAATAACTTGAAGATAAGATTTTATAACGAATATAAAACAAGTCTCTCGTAAAAATCTAACCTACACTTTAAGTAATATTGATCAAACGAGGTAGACTAATAATCTTTAAAACCAACAAAAATAATTTATTTATGAGATTTTGTGTAAAAAAAAATATTTAAATATCAATAAATTAGTTTATTAGAAAGTTAAATATAAGCATTTTTGTTAAATTTATACTTAAAAAAAAGATGTGTTTCTTTTAATAAAAACACCAGTCGATTGAAGTGTAATTTAAAATATAGATAAATCTGTTATATTCTTTTACTTATATTATCTTTCTACAAGCATAACGGTAAAGTAAATATATATATATTTTTCCTAGAATATACCACGATCGTCCAGCTGTCTGTCTGTCCTTCCTTAATCTCGAGAACGGTATTAGATAGATGAAAGTCGAGACCAAATGTGGAAAGCTTAGGGGCATGAGGCGGGGCCTAATGCCCCTAAGCTTTTCATATTTGGCCTCATTAACTACATACGAACGTCCAGTCTAGACCGGAAGTCACGTGATTTCAATTCAAAAATTCCCCTGAAAAGTGTTAGGCAGATGACCCGCACAACTCTAATGTTAAAGGAAAAGTATGATGTACAGGGGCGAGACACTACTAATTTGAGATCGAGAGCATATATTTTAAATTAAATAAATTAAAAATATGATTTAAAAAAAATTGAAGCTCAGCATTGTGACCATATCACAATAATTTTTGCTGGTTATATTTAAATTTATTTATTTTTAATATTTAAACGTTTTTCTCGGAACATAAGCAATTGTTTCGAATGATTTATTTCATCTTTAATGTTAAATAAATTAACAAATGAATAGTATATGCTTAAATGTAATTTTGCTCGTTAATTTTAATTGATTAATTCCTCCCTTTTTTCCATTTTTATGGCTAAATTTTATTTAATAAGACCTGAAAAATAGAAAGAAAAAACAATAATAAAAGAAATTAAACAGAGTAATTACAGTTAAAATGACATTAATGAAGATATTTCGTATTATAAAAAAACAGAAGGTAATTAAAATATAAGAAGAAATTAGAAACGTTCTTTGATATAAATTAACCAGGGAAAAAAAACTAAATTAAGTTTATCTTCTTGCTTATAGCATTATTATATCACTGCACTTTATTAAAATTGATGAATTATTCACTAGTAGTTGACGTTCTATATTAAATTTTTTTAATCGAAAACTTTTTAATTGCAAAATAAATAATTATTCAAATGAATATTTGAGTTCTATATTTTGTAATTTGATATTAAGTCCGACTATTTGCATTTTATTAATTTTCAGTAGAGGGAATAGTAATTAATTGGAAAATTATGCACAATTTAATCCTAAACTGTAAGGGTTACGGTTCATTACTTGTATTTTATTCAATAAAGATTTCACTGTGTTATGTTTAAAATAAATAAATAAAGAATAAAACACACAATAATCATCATTAATAAACTAGATAAATAGAATAAATATAAGAATCATAAGGTATTTTTAGGGGTAATGCAGATTCATGCTACTTCCTGTACATAGGGGAGATACAGTAGGGATTGATAACCGTAAGAAAAGAGCAGGAGTGCCGTAATTATATATATTACAGGGTGGGATCGTTCATACAAATTTAATAATAAAGGAGGGGCACGAATACAAGTAATTTCACACTGAAGACTCTTTCAAAAACTTAAAGTTTAAATTATTAACACTTAAATTTCACTCCTTAAATATAAACCGTAACTCTTATTTATTTATAACGTCTTCACTCCTCTCTATACTGTATACATCTTTAATTGAATACAAATTTTAAAGGATACATCTTTAAAAATATGACACAAAAATTAGAGAGATCAACGAAAGAAAGGATCGAACAATTACAGCATAAAATTATTATAGATTCTAATAAAAGAACTATGAATAAATAATATAACATTCGAAACGAATACAAATAAACAAGAATAAACAATTGAATAATAGAAGAGAATCACTAAAAGAAATGGACATATATATTTCCGATGGTTTTCTCTTGAGATGATAAAACAGTATAACATGAAATGGAAATGAAATTCGCATTAATTAATAAAAATACTCTGCAAACTATAATGATTGCAACTTTATAGATTATTTAAATAATCATTACTTTTTAAATTTAATTTCAAAGCAGTTTTAATAAATGTATGAAGCGCTTAATGCATTTTCAGATTCAAATATAATCTTATATTCGTTAATAATGGCTTGCGTTATGGCTAATTCTCTAAAATTTAGCTACTAACATTCTATTTAATTATTATAATTTGTTAAATAAAATACTTTTAATATCGTTCCCTTTTAAGGATGCTAATCCAGGAGGAAACAAGAATTGAACCGATCTGATGTTACAGAGGAGAAGTCAACAGGACCATTACGATCGACCTTTTATATAAAGGGCCTCAAATACGGAATTTTGTATATAGTCTACATAAAGAAATCATGCGAAAATGATATAAACTAAAATCTATTTTACTTTATTTTAATAAAAATGGTAAAGAGTTAGTCATTTAAAATTGTAAGGTCAACTAGTATAATACGTAGAACGTAAATTAACGTTATCGAAATCATTTCGATTGGATGCCTGCCCATCAATTCTATTCACGTGTTAATGGCGTAAACATGCCTATGTAAACAAGTGTAGTGTTTATAACTCTTACATAATATTCTGTAAAGTAAGCAGCTGAGTCAATTGTCTTACAAAACAATAAAAGAATCTCTTGTCTTTCTATTTCGTTTACCGTATTAATTTCGAAAAACATTCGAAAAATTTTACTATTAACGATATTCTTCTAAACGTGAAGGGTAGCCTAAAAATCAGTTAACCGTTGTAATGCTTAAATGACTCACTCATTCGAATAGAAAAAAACGCTGTTGTAAACTCAGTGTACAAATCATATTCACAAGTGTACTTGGAAAATATGGTTAACTGACTTTTATACTGACATCTTCTATGTGTTTATAAGGTTCTTTTGTGTTTTTGTAGTGTAGTTTATGCTTTAACAGCATATTTTAATAACGTACTTTTATGTAAATCTTATTGTCGTTAAAAATGAACTTTTTTCAGCTTAAAATGTCGAATTTTAATTCAAAAATAATTTTTTTTAAAAATAAATATAAGAGACTGATAAAAGTTTAAATTCTAGAATTTTAAATTATTAAAAAGTCTTGTTATTTAATATATTTCTTCAACAGACATTCCTCTTTATATATATACATAGAACTATGATGTTTAAAATAGATAAAATAGTCAAACTTTCTATATCATGATACAATATTAAATTTTAATAGTAATTTTTCAGCCTAAATCCAAAAGAAAATTATTAGATAATAATTCGTTTTGACATGTAAGATTTCAAAATATTTTTAAAAATTTAAATGTGAATAATAGTTTTGCTTTTCCTTTTGTAATGTCTATGCTATGTTTTTTTTTACTCATTATATAATTCATAAGATAATTCTTTCAAGAAAAATATTAAAAAAATGAAATTTTGTGAAATTTTTTTTACAATTTTAAATTACAAGAAGAAGAAAAATAAAATTTTTAAATAAGAAAATTATTCACATTTTAAATCATACATTTTTTTTAATATTAAAAAAATGTACATATAAATATTTTAAAATTTAATGTATATATATATATATGTATGTATTTTAAAAAGTAGAATTAATTTAATATTGAAAAAGGAATGGTTCCACTAAAACACGTCCTCAATAATTATAAATAATTGAGAGTGACTTAAGCACTTACATTTAGTTTTTTTATATGTCTTTTAGAAAATTATTTAACACTACTTTTGAGATATAAATTTTCACTTTATAAAATTCAAATGAGCATCCGAACAACAATGATAAATATAAATTATTTATTGTTTTCATTCTGCATCAATAAAATAAATTTAAAGCCTTACATAAACTTATGCCTTAAAGCGTTTAAAAGTATAGGAAACGATTGGGTTTAAAGAATTATGCTAATATTTTTTTATGATCGTCTCGTCTGATTTCCATAATTTACATAGACTAATTACTTTATAATTGTCTTTTAACGGTGGAACAACGATTTAATTCCGGAAAGTTAAATACATACAAGCATCTACATATTTCAAGAGGACGCTTTGGGAAATCAATGTTATGATTAAACAGGCTGTTTTAACTAAAACAGAAATTTAATTATAGCCAGTTAAGCAGATATAAAAGTGATCAAATGTATTCTCTTCCCTCTTAACAAACATTTGATGTGTAGAGATCAGCTAGATTTATAAAATAATTTTTTACTCTTTTTTTTCTTTTGCATTTTTTTTATTTTTTTTTTTCTATAAGAAGAAGCAATTTAGAATATCAAGAGAATTTCTGAAGAGCGCTTTTTGATACAGTAGTACATTTATAAATGAAGGATTTTAATCAGTTGAGCGTACAACAGTTTTCATCTAAACATTGCGGACTTCCAATTCTTAATCGATAAAACGTTGCACATGCGTTGTGGATCGTAATAACAACCACTCTCAGTTGAAGAAGGGTCAGAGCAGTTTAACAGTGATGTGGACTCTTGTAATTACTCGTGTATCGAGAAAGAGCATGTTAAAGATTAGAAAGGCGATTTATTAGACGAATAACATCCTTCCCCTCGTCGAAATGAAGAGTGAAATATATAGGCGTACGTTCGTTCTGCTTCTATATTGTCTTATTGAAGGCAGCATGGCTGCTGATGTTGCCTATAGAGGAAGTAAGTAAACTCAATTTTATCATATATTCTGTTAAATTAATTTATCAAACACGTCGTTTGTAATAATTAAATTTATTATATATATATATATATATATATAGTGAACTTTATAAAAATTAAAATTTATTATCGAGTCAGTTTATACAAGAGCATTAATAATACAAAAATATTCGTGTGTATTATTTGAATTATTAAAATGTTATGTCCTTTTTAATTTGCATCAATTAATTATCACTGTTTTGATATTATATTAGTCGTTATTTATGTATTTGATGTTATTATGTGGTATTTATCGTTTGTTACTGTGGTTAGATACAATTATGCCGCTTTTTTGTCGTTTAAAAAAGAATAATTTTCGATATTGACTGCATACTTTGATATCTCGCTGTCATATTAAAGTATAGTTGTCATAGTAACTAGTTTATGAACAATGTTAGGTAGACCCTCTATTGACAGATAGCGTGCACGTGGGTAAGGTTCCACCTTGCACAAATTTGCAAATAATTGAAGATTTCCTTTTATCTACTCGTTCTGAGAATTCTCTTCATTTTAAACAGATGGAATCATTTTAAAATTTTATTATTATAATGTTAAAAAAATATAAAAATTTATTAGAATCTTATTTCGTTTACGAAAATCTCATTTGATTTTTTTTCTAATTTTTAGTCTATAATTTTATAAAATGTAGGAAATTTGATTCGAAATTTTCTAGAGATAAATTGCAATTATTTTTATATAGATTTTTCTAATTTAAGTTTAGTTAATTTCGAATAATAAATTAATGCGATTATTTTAAAATGAGTTAAAGATATCTAATATATAATTTCTATATACATATACTTTTTAATTTAGATGAAAACGAAGACAGGTGCAATAAAACTGTAGATATATATCAAGCAGTATCAAGTCCTCCTGTAACGGAAGCAAATCGTGGCAAAGCATTACATTGCAGCTATCGTGTTCGAGTTCGACCAGCACGTGACGATTGGGTAGTCTTTGTACGCTTTACTAAACTCCGAATAGGTCGACCCACAGAAGACAGGCAGCAATGCATCGGTGGTTACGTACAGATAATTGATGGATATCGAGAAAGTAATCATAGCAACCGTGCCAATCCTGGTTTTTATTGCGGAGATATTGACTCTCCGAAGACATTTATATCCGAAACGCCTCACGTTAAAATTGTTTTCCATGTCGATAAATATGACTACGATACCTATCTACAGTTCGATGCCAATGTGGAACAGCAAAGAGAAGTTCATGCCAGATACGGACAATATCCACAGTTATATCCAAACAGAAGGGGTGCTCCGATATACGGAACTTATTGCGATCGTGTTTTTCACGATTGTTCTCCGGGTAGATGCTTTGTACAATCACCAGGTTTCCCGGGAATTTATCCACGTGGTTTACATTGTAGATATCGTCTTAGTGTTCGACACAGTTTGGTAGGACTTGATCTCACTACATTCGATGTCGACGGATTAAGGTGTGATAACCTTTTAATGTGTTTTCCTCGCCCGATTTCGCGCCAGGCGGAAGATTGTCCATTCGATTACGTTCGTGTTTATGATGGACCAACCGAAGATAGTCCAGTTATCGTCACCTTATGCGGGAGAGGAAGGCTCAAATCTAATATAATAGCCTCAGGTTCTGAAATGCTAGTAGAATTTATTACATCTCCAGCAGGACCGTTGCTCAATACGGGCTTCCATTTCAAAGCTGATAGTATCTACGATACAGGGGACACAGAATCACTTCAATTAAGGAACAGCAGCTGCAGTATCGAACGACATCTGCGAGGGTATAAGGAGAGTGATTTTTCCAACTTGAGATCTTGGTATCCGGGTAATACAACGTGCTTCTATCGTTTCGTGGCTTCTGAAGAAGAAGTTATTCGTTTAGAATTTTTGTGGTTTCGAGTCGAACGAGTAACTCTTTGTGAAGAATCTATTAAATTGTATGATTCATACGAACCGGATGGGATGAAGATAATTTCTAAACTGTGTGATATGAATAAACCACGAGCCGTTTATGAAACAACAGGGCCGGTAATGTTTGTCGAATTTTTTAGTCACGCAGGATCTTTAGATGGTTCATCACTCAGTTATGGCTTTCAGGTGAAAACTGTTAATGTTATGCCTCAAGATAATCATATAAGTCAATCTGCTTGCAATAAAATATACGATGTCGCCAGGGAAGATATTGGGTCATTCAGTTTGTCACTGCAAGATTTAAATTTTACACTCGGAAATCAACCTATAGTGTGTAATTATACCTTCGATGCCAGCTCGCTCCCACACGGAAGAATAAATATTACCCTATTATCACCGCTCTCGAAAATGGTTGTTAATTGTCACGAATGTTTGGGTGATCCACTTTTAATGGAAGTTTACGCTGGTGTTTTAGATGATCCACCGTATTGTTTATGTCAGAGTAATCGTCAACGTGTTCATCATATTACTTCTCTAGGATCTAAAGTGTTGCTATCACTACATTTAACTCCAGAAGTGAAGGGAATGAAAATTAAAACCTATCTACAAGGAAATTATACCCATTTTAGCGATTATAGATGTGGTACGGAAATACGACCTTTAGATCTGCAAGGGGTAATTCAATTTCCACCTTCCAATGTTTATCCAACTAAAGCCATGTATTGTAGATGGAGAGTTCCCATTTTTCCACGAATGGACGTTTCTTTTCAACTAGAACATTTTCACGGTCAGAATAACTGTACATTTGATTACATAATCGTCAATCAGATAATCCTCTGTCAGACGTTATCATCTACAGACGAGACATTTATCTTAGAGAAAGAAGAAATTCGCAAGTCTGATGTTACGGTCGAATATCGTACATCAGAATCGTCTGAAGGAAATTTTACTTTATGGTGGACACAACTAAAAGTTTTACCAACTCCCTCCAGTTCCGATTCACTCGTTTCACTAGGAAAAGATTGTGAATTTCTTTGTGCATCGACAATGACATGTATAAGAAAAGAACTGGTATGTAACGGAGTACAAAACTGTCCAAAACAAAGTAGTGGCCATCGTAACAGATTATATGCTGCAGATGAGGATCCAACTATATGTTTACCCCAACAAGATTCGTTTCGACTGTATTGGTGGATCATAGGTTTTGCTTTGGGAGTCTGTGGATGTGTTTTGCTTTGCCTTGTCTTCTCACTGTGCAGACGATGTCAAAGTAGAAGACAGAGGTTTTAAATCGCTCAATTACAATATCTCATGAATATTCATGTTTGAATGTGTTTTTACATTGGTATATAAGTTTTTACATGTTTTTAAAATTATTTTAATCTACAATGGAGATTATTAAAAGAAAAAAAAATTCTTGACACGATTTCTCAGAAAAAAAAAATCACTGAAAAGAAAGTGATTTTAAAGTGTTATATGTAGATCAGTTTGATTTTTAAATTATTTTATAGCAGAGGGAGGAATAAAAAAAAGAAACAATTATTCCCTCGAGATCATATCATCTTCTTTGTCACACAATCAATCGACTTTGTACACATTTATTACGTTTTATGTGTGTGTACCAGGAAATTGTACCTTTTTATTAATGCTCTATGCAGGAAGCCATGTTTTCAAGATGTAAATAAAATTGCTCAAACCGAAAATGATGTAGATTATAAGTTATTTCGAAAATAATAAATAACTTATTCTAGAAATATTTAAACACAAAAATTATTCAATTAATTTATCTAGAAAAGAATTTTAAATATAAACAAAATTAAAATGAGTAAGAACGTATATAAAAATTTAATTATTAAGTCTTCGTTTCGAGTTGAAAATAAATAAATGATAAGTTTTAAAACTACTAATAAAAATTTATCTCGAGTGCCACTAGATATGAAATAAAAGAGAACAAAATAGTCATTAGCAAGAAATAAAAAATGGTAAATGAAATATTGTATAGAAATATAAAAGAAGAAAGATAAAATAAAAAATTCAGAAAGTTTTTTCCTTAAAAATAATTTTTTTTAATATATATATAAAAATTTCGATCGGAAATTAAAATTACATTATACAAAACTCTCTCTCTCTCTTTTTTTTTTTAAATTTAAAATTATTCAAAATTGAAGTTTTGCATAAATGATGATACTCACTTTAATAGAGTTTACATACGTAAAAAAAAATTATAATAATTTCTTTTTTGGTTTCTATTAAAATATAATTTATTTTAAGAATTTTCTGTAATAAAAGAAACATTTATAATTTTCTTATTTATTAATTTTTTTTCTCTTAAAAGCTTAATTTATTTTACTGGTTTTTTTTAAAACATTTATAAAATCTAATTTTGAAAAATATTTATAATATAGATACAATATTGTAAAAAATTGTTTTCATAAATAAAACATAAAAATAGATGAGAGCAATATCTGTTGTGGAGATTGTTGTGGTTTCTCTTTTATGGGGGCTCATAAATTAATCCTTTCAATCTGATCCTCTATCAAAATTGCCTCATATATTACAAGATAAACTGTAAAGGGTACACTTCAATTCGGGATTTTCTATAAGTTTTTATCATTTTTAAAGTATATAAAGTATAGAAAACTTGAAAGATATTCGAATCTCATTAAAAACTTTTATACTAAATCATGTTTGGAATATTTAAATGAGAATTTTTCCTTCCCTTTCCTTCTTAATTTCTTCTTAGTTTTTAATACTAGAAGACTTAAATATATTAATTTTAAAAATATACATTAAATTCTTTACACGAGGAAGCTTTAAATCAATATAAATTAAAATGTTTTTATTTAATTAAATTATGAAATTTGAATATTAAAAAAAAATGTAACGATAATCTAAGTATAAATTCTTGTTTTATAAATCGAAAATTGTGTAGATAATATATAAAAGAATGGCCCAAAAGACAGTTAACCGTGTTTGTTTTGTGTTTCTGTTATATTTGTTGTCAATATGAAGTGGAAATATAGTCGACCCCCCTATAACACTGTTGATAAATTCCGTGTTATATGAATTCCATGTTGTGCGAGTCACTTAGATTTTACAAATACGTGAGCCGTTCACGGCCCGGCACACGTATTTGTAAAATCTAAGTGACTCGTACAACACGGAATTCATATAAAACGGAATAATCAACAGTGTTATAGGGGNATGCCATTTAAGACCTTTGTTCTGACATCCTCCTACTTCTTCAAAAAAATCTTTACTAGCAGATAGACATAAATCTGCATTTTCAGAAGAAAACATAAAAGAATTGTTTCTGTCAAATATAAAAGGATGGAATTACAAGGAAGAGTTTCAACGTTCAGGGGAATACTATCCGATCAGTATATACTGGGTAGAATGTCGATGTCAACGTCTCCCGCGCTCCAAAATGTTTCGAATTGTTGCCTGAAGACAAAGGAAGACCAATTGGTATTTGTTATTTCACGTCACTTCTTCTTGTGTTTGTTCAGTGATGTGTTCATTATCCGAACATGTGTTCGTTGTCTGATCATAAAAATCTTTTGCAAAACTGTTCATTATCTGATTTGTTCGTTAACCGATCACCCACTGTATTCTGAAAATTAATATATTGTCTAGATAATGCATTACAAATAAAAATATATTTTGGTATAAAAAGTTTACCTTATGATACAGTTTATAGTTATGTAAATAATATTATTAATCCATTCCAAACACTCATAACATGAAAAATGCTCACAATGAAAAAATCATCAAGTACACTCCACTCATCCAAGAAATAAGACAACTGTGGATGGCTAGGTTAGGTATTTATTGTGCACTTATCTCTCTTCTACTGCTGTCACCACATACACTACACAAGAGTCTAGAAACTAAACCTTAATAAAAACATGTACAAGACACTAAGCACGTACAGAAAGCTGCAATATTGAATACATCACATCGTTAAGAAGTTTTTATATTTGGATACACACCAATAACACAGAAGCTTAATGTAATGCTTAGATAGCTATGCTTTGACTTTAGTCAGGCATAGCACTTGGCACCAGTAACAGCTGAGCATCACATTTGCAACAAATAACAATGTATTTCATAGATTAAAAAACATCATCATTTTGTAAAATTTTAAACTATTAAAATTAAAAAAATAATAATAATAATAATAATAATAATAGAGGAAAAAAGAAGTAGTTGTTTATTCTAAGTACGAGATTATTTTCGTTATTTTTTAACGTTAGAGACGTTAGAAAATGAGAAAGTGCAACGCAGAAGTCTTAAAATACGTGGAATTTATTCTTATTTTACCTATCTCGTCACTTGACGTCACTATACAGGGGTCTAATTCCATTTAAGGAAGTCGCGCTATTTATGCTATCTCATTGGAGAAACAAGCGAATTAACAAGCTATCATTGGTTAACTCTTTTTATTACGTTACTTTTATTTGATAACACTTTTTCGACGTGGGATATAGCATCTTTCTCGTTTTGTAAGTCTAACTTAAGCCATGTTTTACGATCCTACTCCTCCGTTAAGTTCCAGTTGGTCTGAATGGTCGGAAAGAATGAGCAGAGTAAGTTTTTTTTTTTATATGTTCGACATTTTTTCGACTGTCTTAAACTTCAAACAATCGCAGCCGGTGTTTTGTCTATTAGACACAGTAACTGCTGCGTAGATTCTTAAAATAGAAAACAAGAAAACACAGTTTGCTGTAATTTATAATTGAAATATATATAGCCTATATTCTCTACCTTTACACTAAAATTTTATGTGTTTTACGACTTTTTATTATTGTTTTCCTTCGATTTTTAATGTAATATGGGCATAAAGTAAGCAAAGTTAAAGGCCTAGACAGATGTCATCGTTAAGGAGGCATCAATAATAGGTTTGGGCATAAAATATTTTATTATACATAGATATAAAATGGTTTTTATATGTAAAAAATAAAGGTTAAAGGGTAAACCCTTCTGTATATAACTTTCAGGTAAATTAATGAGTAGGCGTTATGTTTATTTCCTTAAACTTACATAAGTTATAAGGTAAAAATATATATATATATATATATTCTTTTACTTGTAAAAATAGATTTAACACTTCATTTTAATAATCTGCTTTTAATAGAAATTTTTATTAATCAGATTTATTGGCTTAACCTTTAAGTTAATGGCCGATCAATGTATTGTGAAATTTCTACACTATCGATTGATTTGATCGATAGAGAAGAATGAGACGTATAAAATGAAGTTAAATCATGGCTTAAATTGTCTTAAATTTTAAATTGTACAGGGAGAAAAAAAATAGTTTAGAAAGTAAATGTAGATTGCAGGATATTGATATTATACGACTCGTACTATCTAAAGTTAAAATGATATAATTCCCTCTTTGTCATTAATGTAAAGTATTGTATAGAAATTTAATCAACAAAATGCGTTTTAATGACTAGAAAAGTAATAAAAGTCCGGAAATTATGACGTAAACACTCTATTTAATGTCAGTGCTTTTGTTCCACCACACTTTGTAGTGACAGTTGGATTCGTTGACCGGAAAAATTGTTCGAAATTTATATAACTTCTTTTTATACGTACCCAGATCGATAACAAAGTAGTACTTTTTTATGGTAAGTTAATAACCGTGCCTCGTTTTTTATGTTTCTCTTTTTTAATTCAAAAATTTTGCGTGTTTTCTACCAGTGTATGATGATTAAACGCGTGAACAATAAACTCTTAATAAGGTCGGAATTGATTATTGTAAATTATAATATAACGTTACTAATTAGTCAATAATCGATAACTTCCTGCGGTAATCAAGTTTACAAAATGCTTTTGCTTTATATTTGTGTGTTTTACTTAAGGTCACGTGTTCTAAATTCTTTGTATAGTTTTGAAGTACGTTGGATAGAATTTCGCAATTAAGGTCGTAGGACGATCGAAGACCTCTTTATCTCAATTAGATCAAGGTACCTGAAAGGGTGCCAAACCGTTTAAATTTTATTTTTAATAAATTCCAATTAAATGCTATTCAATTCTATCGGTTGTATTTTTAAATATTTATTTATTTTTAAATTTTCTTTTATTTTAGCCCAGCCATTACGATGATATGGAGTGGGGTAGACCTTTTAGAGAATACACAGGGTCTTATACAAACCCTAGAATCAGAAGATTTGATTTCGCTGATGAAAGTCCCAGAATGTCAAGAACTAGTAGTCGATCGGATGTGGAAAGCATGCCAGAAACAGACGAAAGCATTGAACAGGAAGGAAAACCACCAAGGGTGCACCGAATTCCAATTATGGTGGAGTGTCGAGACGAGTTTCAATCTACCAGTCGCCCCCAAACTCCCGAATCTTCGAGAATACAGGAAGATATGCCTCGGTTTACGGATTTCGAGACTCAACAGAGCAACACGGTCCCACGCAGGAGACGTAGAAATGTTGTAGAAGAAGACATTCAGCGTAGTCAGTCGCAGTCTTCGGCAGAGCCTATGTATCATAAATTCGCTAACAAAGTCCCGGAACGTAGGCGACGAAATGTAACAACAGTCAAAGTCAATTGCGAACCCGAAGAGGTGAAAGAAAAATCGAGCGATCAATCAACGGAAATCGAATCTATAATTAAAGAAGTAGAAGATTTAAAGACGCAGGTGGAGAATTTGACAGAAGTCCAAGATAAACTATATCGTTATTTAGACGAAATGTTGACTCGCTGCATGCTAAAATTAGACAATATCGACACCATGGGTTCGGAGGATATACGCTTGGCAAGAAAGAACGCTATAGGAAGAGTCCAATCGTGTATCGACTTATTAGAATTGAAAGCTCATCCTCCTCCTCCTCCTTCTCCTCCTCCTCCTCCTAAGCCTTCTCAAACAGATAATCAAAATTCCGATTGCGAAAACACTGTGATCAGCTTACCGTTCTACGATAAACAGCCATCTAGAGAGGAAACGATGTCACAAACCGAACAGGTGTGTAGTAAAGATGAGAAAGATGACAACGTAGAACCTAATAAAAGTATTATAGTTCTCCCTTATTACAAAACAACGGAAGTGACGCATCCCGACCCGCAGAAGGATAAAACAGACAAGAACGAAGACGTAGAGCCAAACAAAAATGTTATAGTGCTCCCTTATGAGAAATCAGAAAACGAACAGAAAACACCCGAAAAGACTGTTATTATGTTGCCTTTTCACGAAAATAAGGAAGAAAATAAGAACGTCATACCTCTACCCTTCCACGAAAGTGTCGGATGCAACGATTCCTGCAGTGAAAGCTACTGTACAAAGCTGTGATGACGGTTGTCTTATTAATAGGCTATATAGTTTATTAATACGAATACTAGTTGTTCTTTTTTAAAAATTTGTATATTTATGTACAGATTAATTAATTTAATACGCGGGCGTATAAATGAAAGAATAAACAAAGTTTGGATTCTTCGTATATCCATTTGTTGAGTCTAGCCTCAATACTTAACATCCTTGGCCGAATAATTTACATTAGGACACCTTGGCCGAGTAGACAAGAATAATAATGTAAACAATGGAGATTAGTTGTCGAAAAATTTTGTACGAATTTTTTCCAAAAAAAAATCGAAAAAATTTTATCAAAGATATGTGATGTAATATTTATGAAAGGCAATTCTATTGATGAATAATTTATATTTAAGATAATAAATTATTAAAATAATCAAAATTTAGCCTTTAAAATTACTCAAGAGTTCCTGTAATTCGATAATTAGTAAACGTTGTATATGAATCATCAAAGCTAAAGTTAGTTTTCTATAGAACTTTACATAAACTTGATATACTTTTGTTTATTAATTTCCTCCTTATCTATTTATAAATATCTTTAAATTCTTCTGCGGTTTAATCACATTTAAACTAATTTATATTATTATTATTATCATTATTATTTTTCAGAATTATTTGCTTCCAACTATAAAATAAAGTTTTCTTTTTAATTGAAATTGTCATCCAAGTAATTAAATTCAATTAGTTGTGTATATATTGGATAAGAAAGATTTTCATTTTACAAAATTATAAATGTCAATCTACAAAAAAATTGAATTATTCTATTTAATATTTAACATAATTTACATTATTTTATATGAAAAGAATAGAATTTTATAAAATGTTTTTAACAAATTACTGTTAAATGCATTTTACTTTCATTCAATTAAGATGATAAATGCAGAATAAAGGGATTTTTCAGTTTTAAATGAATTTATTAAGCATCTTTTTTTTATTTTTTATTTTTTAAATAAATTTAAGAATTATAATATAATTAAATGTAATAAAATTGAGAGGAAATTATAACATATTTTTAAATTTAATTTATTAGATATAATAACATATTTATGTTTATAGATTTATATCGCTATTACTAAACTTAAAGGGTTTAATTTTTAATATGTCGTATAAAAATCAATTTTATTTATATGGAATTCTTTAATTTATTATATAGATATTATTACAATTTAATATTTGATATATTATAACTGATTTAAATCGTATTTTGAAATTATCTAAGCTTAATTAACTGTAACGTAATTAATCAAATATTTGAAGAATTATCTTATATTAATTATAGAACATTTTAAGCTGAAAAAAAGTTCATTTTTAATGACAATAAGGTTTACATAAAAGTACGTTATTAAAATATGCTGTTAAAGCATAAACTACACTACAAAAACACAAAGAAACCTTATAAACACATAGAAGATGCCAGTCTAAAAGTCAGTTAACCATATTTTCCAAGTACTTGTGAATATGATTTGTACACTGGGTTTAGAACAGCGTTTTTTCTATTCGAATGAGTGAGTCATTTAAGCATTACAACGGTTAACTAATTTTTGGGCCACCCTTCACGTTTAGAAGAATATCGTTAATAGTAAAATTTTTCGAATGTTTTTCGAAATTAATACGGTAAACGAAATAGAAAGACAAGAGATCCTTTTACTGTTTTGTAAGACAATTGACTCAGCTGCTTACTTACAGAATATTATGTAAGAGTTATAAACACTACACTTGTTTACATAGGCATGTTTACGCCATTAACACGTGAATAGAATTGATGGGCAGGCATCCAATCGGAATGCTTTCGATGACGATAATTTTTGTCCTACGTATTATACTAGTTGACCTTGCGATTTTAAATGATTCGAACGACTTCCTCTTTTACCATTTACGGTAGAAATGCCTCAGCAAGGTGTATTCTAGTAATCATTCATTATTAGTATTATTATTATTATTTTAGCTTTTACAGGTGCGGTTTTCCTTCTTATGTCATATTATTATCAATTTTAATAGGGCGGAATATATACTTAGGGCATTCACAATGGAAATAATGAATTATTTAATATTTTCCATTCGGTTAACACCTTTAAACGGTTAAGTAATGTTATGCATTCCGTTGTCAACTGTAAAAAAACATAATTCTAATTTAAATAAAAATACAGAAAAATATTTAAAAACTGGCAGGAAGTATATTTTGAATAAATGTTTGAATGTAATTAATTTTTTTAAAACTTTTTATGTTAATTAAAAGAAATTTACATGTTGGCGTTATTTATGTAGGAGAATGAGTCATACTATCATTTTTTTTAAATAACATTGCGAGTGAATGAACTGCGAAGGTGAAGAAGATTAGGAGGAGTTACCGAATTTAAATGATTTGTTACAATGTGTTCGTAGTAGAGATAGGTATACGTTTATTGAGTGATATATATGTTTAGTATCGTACAATTACGTATTAAATTGTTATCACTACAACTCATGGAATAAGAAAATTTATGAGCTCCTTCTAAAATCCATTTCTACTGAATATATTTTGCAGTTAACGTGTTTTATTTATTAAAATTCAAGAATGATACTACAGCAGCATCCATAAAGTTACCGAGTCCATTAAGCCATAACTTCGGATTTACTTCTCAATAAGGTCGTGCCAAATAGTTCATCTTTTGTTTAAATTTTTCGTAAAATTTATTGTAACTTTCATTGAATAAATGATTTCAAATCCTCACAAAAAATAAATTGCATATTTTTAAAGGAAACAATTTTTTTTCTATAACATAAACAATACAGTTTGGCTCGAAAGTAGGTTAACTTTTTGTGCCCGAATCACTTGTAACTTATGAGTCATAAATAATTTATAATCGAGTAATTGATTTCTTTTACAAAATTGGTATAATTGATACAGTAGAAATACACCAGAAAAACATACAAAATTAAAACTAAATTGATTACAAATTAAGAATTCTGTTAACTAACTTTTAGACTATCCATAAACTTACGATAGCCTAAAATCAGGGCTATATTAATGCAGTGGCACACCCGAACGTGCCCAACCGTTACCAGAGGCCTCGCCTTCTTACAAGGATCCTCGAAGCCACGACTCATTGTTTATTACTAATATTTTTGTTCGATAACTGTATCTATATAATGCGTGCAAATCAATTTGGCACGGGTCTCAAAAGCTCCTAAAACGACCCTATTAACAAAACTTTATCAAATAAAACAAATTTAATTAATACAGTAATAAATAAAGCTTATATTCTACGCAAAATACGAACTTAGAATATCAAATTACTAAAATTACGAATATCAATAAATAAATAAAAAAATATGCCCGCTATAAATCTTGATTATGAAAATTTCCAATCGCTAGAAGCGAGGATAAAAAACCAATATTTTTCTTATCGTTAGAGAGGAATCTACACTTTGCAAAACGAAATAGGAAAATTTTAATATAAAAAGATTTTTATGTGGTTCTATAAACACGAAAATAAGGTCTAGGACGTAGAAAAGCGAATATTGTCAAACCAGTTATTGACTGTTTTCCTTGACGTAACTGAAAGTAGGTTGACGGTATCCTTGAAATCTTTTAATGATTTCATATATATTTTACCCTATATTTTAAATTTTCGTAAGATATAAGCCTATACACACACATATATATTTCGACATTTCTGTCCAAAGTGGAAAGTTTCACGGATGCAAAGCCAAGTGCAACTGTGTAATAGGTTTTTATAAATTTGGCTTCATTCCTATTCTTACTACTGTGTTTCTTTTCTTAAAAAATATTTAATATTTCTAAGAATAGGAAGTTATATTTGATTTACAAGTAAAACCAAAAATCCTCACTCGATCGATAACGAATAGGATTTAAGAAAGCTAATTCACGTGGGGTTAGCGGAAAGTAATACTGGTCACAAAAAACATGTTTGCGGTTTTTTATAATAATAATAATAATAATAATAATATTCATTTTTCCATTTAATTAAAAATTTCTGATTAGTATATTTTCAGGTCACTAAGAAGAAGAAGAAGAAGAAGAAAGAGAANTATTATAATTAGATATAATTATAAAAGTCTTTATTATGTATCTTTTATACTACTAAAAAGCATTAAGATAAATTTATTAATGGGATTTTTTTTATGTATATAAGAAACTTCTCCTTTTTATTTTTTTGTTTTTAATATTTAAATAAAAAATGTTTACCATTTAAATTTTTAAGATTGTAAAATCAAATTTTGTCATAATATTTATTCAAATACTGTATAAACAAAACGTTTTTTTTAATTATTTATTTAAATGATTTATTACATCTTTCATAATATATTATTAATGAAAGAAAAAAAAAAGTATAACTCATAAATAAATAAATTTCATTAAAAAATATCAATAATAAATTTTATTATTTAAAGAAAAACATTGCAAAAAAGCCACATTTAACGTTGGTTTGTTAAAAAAAAAAAAAAAAAACATGTAGATGGGTATTGAATGGCCTACATTTTCTAGTAGTTTTATGACACAACACATTCTTAAAAGAATAAAATTTTCTACACAAAGATACTTGACAGTTTTATAATATATAATCATCAATTTTGCTCTTTTCTCCAACATATAATACCGTGAAGTTTTCATTGACACGGATGGAGCTCATTATGTGACAGTGACGTATTTTAACAACCCTTTTGAAATAACACACAGTACAAAAATATTTTGTATATAAAAATAATAAATATAAATTCTCGTTTTTATTTTTATTTTTATTTTAGTAGAAATTACAGTTGAATTACGTAAATTTAATACCGACAATTGCTTTTCTTTTTAAATTGTTTATAGTTCTGTCTCTCTCTATCTATAAATATATAGAGGAGAGAGAGAGAGACAGAGAGAATCCGATCAGTCTTAGTCCCCCTCTATGTGTATCTATATATAGAGAAGGATTAAGAGAGCTAAGATAGGGCCAAACCAGTCGCGGATGTGGGGCCCCTTTCTAAAAGCCACAAAAATATATTAAATAAATTTAATTAATAGAATAAAAACAAAATTTTTCCTCACTTACTTTTAGAAACTTTAATTTATATTATTTCTTTTTAAAAATAATTATATTAGTTTCTTATGTAAAAAAATGATGAGAGAAAGGGGCCATGTTTTTTTTA